CCAAATTAACTGGGATGAGATGCTCCCAAAGGTAGCCAGTGCCTATAATAACAGTGTGCACTTAGCCACTTGTCGCACTCCCAACGGATTGCATAAGTCCTTTAGACCGCGTAGACCGTTTGAGGGACTCAACCGGGATCAGATTCAGAGGCTACCGCCCGGAACTAGGGAGTTTGCGATACAGCATAAGAAAGAGATCGCTACCGTAGTAGAGAACCTCATACTCACACACTGAACTCTGTCTCTAAGCTATAGCGGCTATGGCCGCTCTACTACTACTGGCTATGGACGATCTATCTCCCTTCAGCCTACTTCAACCTCGGGCATCTGCAGACCACCTCGCACAAGACGCCTGGGCAGCGCTTCCGCATGGCTCGCGCAGGAATGAATGAATGGCTGGACRCTGCCTCTTGATTTATACTTTTGTTGGCCGCTGGTCTGCCCCTTTTCCACGGGGCCCTTGGTGCACGCAGTCCCACATGGTACTTGCTGACTAGACTAAGTGAGACCGGGACTGGGTACCGCTRACGAGGCAAGGTTGGACTCACCACTTGCCCACTTGCCTCTGGTCTGCTGTGAGCAACACTCAAAAGGCCACTTCCGGACCTTCCGGAAGCTCACGGGCTTGGCCTTTCAGAACTGTAGCAGCTACGACCTTGACCTTTCAGGACTGTAGCAGCTACGACCTTGACCTTTCAGAATTACTGCAGCTACGACCTCTACACAACTATGACCCCTACTCGACAGACCTACAGATCGAACCCCTACAGCTACACAGACCTACGAGAGACATCAGTCAACTACCAAACACAGGTCACGGGTTCAAACACACAGGAGTACTGTACACGGGTGAGGTGAGGTCTGGGGATCGAACCCTGGGATCTGCATCTGTCACTGCGAAGGTGAAAACCGTTTCACTCCTGCCGGCCTAAATTTGAGGTCCTCTGAGAATAGTTGTCCAAGGTTGGACCTTTACCTTTCTTATCTCTCTCGTGGGCTCGAACTACATCGGGAGCGGTCTCAAGAAGTTCTGTTCGTGTAAACCAGCGGCTGTCCTCTGGTTCCTGAAAAGAGAATCTGACTTTATACTGTTTCTGTGGACGACCTCAACCTCCTGTTCTGAACACATCTTCACCTACGATGCTGTCAATGTTGTACTTTCCATCCATGTCCGGAGGGATCATGGACCTCCGTGACGGAAACTGTTGACTTGTGGTACAAGGCAACAACTTCGACACATGAAAAACTGGGTAGGTGTGGAGGTGTGCTAGATGCTGGGTAGGTGTGGAGGTGTGCTGGAATGTCTATGGTGTAAGATGGTCCATCCTCTCCTCCCTTGACTTCCAAAACAGGCCACGGTCCTCTATACACAGGTAACAGTTTCTGTGAGATGTTTTCCTCAGGAGCAAACTCTTTTGACTTAACCCAGACTAAGTTGCCTACTTGGAACTGTGATGGGCAACGATGCTTATTGGCTTGCTCTATCATTGAATGAGTGTGCGTGGGATATTCAGGGTGATCCGGAGTTGAGTGTGTGCGGACGGGTTATGGACACAGTGGCGGATGTGAGATGTGCAGGCGATTTGGCGCCATAGCCAGTTTGCAGCGAATTTGTATCTGAACTGTGTTCTTGGTCTTCATATCTCTGAGCTTTGTGTGGGCGCTTGACGCCAGTTATGGATTTCCATCTGTCTGCATGCATGCTGGAAGAAGAAGAAAGCGGGTCTGATTGCATCGGTATCGGATCTGGTTCCCGTTATTTCACGCGCCATCGTCGTTTAGCAGTGCGCCATAGCTGAGACTCGTCGTCGAGGAAGGAGAAGTGTCAGCCATAGCTCTGCCATAGCTGCGCCATTGACTGGAGGAGCTGCTCACCTGAAGGCCCTCCTTCCAAGAGTAACATTCTTTCCACGGGGCACAAGTTTTGGCCCTGGTGAGGCTTAGTGTTGTGTGAGGTGGTGAGAAAAAATGAGGAACAAGTTGGCAACCTTGCACATTTCCAGTATAGGTTTCGTAGTGAATGTCTCAAGCCTTGAATGGCATTCCTGCTCAAGCTCAAATGTGAAATGCGGAGAAGGCTCATCACAAGGTCTGTACGATTAGGAAAACACAAGGACATGCAAAGATGCAAACTGTTTTTCCGGCCGTAGCAGCTGGCTTCCGTGGCCTTGCACTCTCACTGAGTTATTTCCCACGTGGTTCCTCTATGGGCCTACCATCTTCAGCCGACGATGGGCACTAACATGACCAGGTTTCACCATGAAGTTCATTATCCTGGACGAAGTAGTATTCATATTCTAGGAAGCTGATCCACGCATTAGCGAACATGAAAATTTGCACCCTGGCAATTTGAAAAACCTTTGGCGCCAAATTCAAATTTTTTTCCCACTTGAGCAAATTTTGTCTGAGCAGGACAAGAATGCAGGAGCGTTGCGCGAAATCAGTACCACATTTCGTGAACAAATTTTTGAAGGGAGCAAACTTGGTGAGGCAAAGGAGTTCAAAAGAAAGAACATAAACAGTCACTCCACCAGCATGATTTAGACTATTCAACGCCTGCCCGAAGTGGGCTGGCCCCTTGAAGACTGGCATACATATAGAGTGAAGAGGCTGGTACCGCCCGACCATTCCCAACATGGAAAGACATTAGCTGCACTGCCCAGGGCCTCCCGTTGGATCAGCCGAGGGCACAAATGAATGGAAATGTACCTACCGTCTTTGTGTCACGTTGGTTTGTATAACTAGGACTTACTGTACCACCACACGCCAACCGATGTGCACACGCTGTGCATGTGAGTTGTCTCCCCCCCCCCCTTTTAAACCACCAGTACATCCGAGCCTTTTGTACCAGGCGGATTTGCACTGTGCGCCCAGCTTTGCCGAAACGCCAGCGTGGAGTTTGTGTTTTAGTTTTGGCTATAGCACCATCAGCCATTTTGGTCCGGTTGCCCCAAGCCTCCAGTTTTTTTGGAGAGGCTCAATCGAAATTTTCAACTTGGCTGGGGCTGTGTACTGGTGGCTTAAACCACTAGTACCTTTGCCGCATGGGAAAATAGCGGGCCTCGGGTGGGCCTCCGACCTTTTCGGATGGCCGAAATGAAACGACCGCCGCCGATCAGATTTATCAATGGCAGCCGTCGTCGGGCCCGGCCTCCGAATTTTCAGGAGTTTGGGAAAACAGCCACTTTTCCCTAATTTCCCAACACCGGCAGCGGTACCAGTGGTACATTTCCGAGGGTCTGACTACTGGAGGTGGTAAGAGCATCCTTCCGTAGTGGGCTCCCTAATTTGAGATGGCTCCGATCTATCGGTGGGGAGCAACACCTCTGTACATGTGAGTCCTAGTGTCAGCATCTGTTGAGCTTCTGCCATAGTGTGCCATTTCCTCTCTGCTCGAGTACTGTACAATCCATCATGTGCTCACACGCTTGTGCTATAGCCTCATCACCTATTGCACTAGACACTCTGCCTCGTCACCTCCTGGACTATACACTCAGGGAATTTCTGCAAGGCGGACAGGGGAGAGGTGTTGGGACGTCTCTTCACATAGCCGGCTACTTTTCTTTTCGTTTTTTTTTTTTTTTCCAGGTATTGGGCAACTTACGGAAATTGTTTCAAAGGTTAAGCACAGTGAGAGTTGTATAGCGAGGTTGATTATTCTATTCATGATATTGTTCTCTTCCTGGTGAAATTGAAAAAAAATTGTGTTCATTTAAGTGAACCTGAGAAAAATACATCATAAGAAAGATGGGTTTTCCTCGAAAATGATAATTCATGCAGTGAAATTGATGATCCATTTTTGTGAAAGGAGTTTTGTAATGTTTGAAGCTGCTGGGTCAAAGGAGTATTAAAAAAGAGCAACGGCCTTGAGATGTCATCCTTGAACTGACCAGCTGCAGGTACTTCAGAATTGTTTTGTTCTAGTCATGTCGTTCCATGGGACTCGAACTGAGGTCTGTATTTCAACAGTTCATGGGTGTACCAGCCGAGCTGGGCCCAATGGTAGTGATGCTTTATGTTCCCTTTCTAGTGCTGGTCTGAAACTCTGAGGATACATGTTTCAGCCTACTGTCTTCACCCGAATCGCAAGGAAGATGAGCGATAGCGAACTTCAGCAATCAAACAGCATCGTACACATAAGACCATATAGTCGTGACCTCGAACCAATAGCAGAATTGCATCACGAGTTTCACCAAATAAGAGCACACCAAAAGCTCATAATTGACAATGCTGGAATAGTCTCATCACCATCATCAACGAAGAACCAATGTTGATATCCTATCTGGCGCTCGGCCCCCAGACTACAAATGGCAGATCCTATCTAGCCTATACTACAATGCCAAGATGCCGACAACAGCTCTCCCGAAGTACGAGCAGTTAGCGGCCAATGTCGCACACTTCCAGCACCAGGTATGTCTCTCGCATCTTTCACAACCCCGTTCCCCAACACACAGATGCCACTTGCACCCAAGGACCACCCTGCGCCACATCCAGCTCACAGCAGCGCAGCTCGGCTATGGTTGCCTGCTCCTTCCTGCTCGCCCGTGAGCGTGGTAGCGCCAGCCAGCTTCAGCGCAGCAGCGCTTGCGCAGCATGCAGCCAGCACCCAAATGCCAAATGCGGAGGCAGGCCCTTTGCTATATGGAAGTGGCCTGCCTGCCTTCTGTCCCAGACTGCGCTGGGCCTTTCCCAAGAAGCTTCCGGTAGGCCCCGGTAGGCTGAGGCCCAGTCCAAACGAATCAGGCCCTGGGCCTGTGGTGGTTACTTGTGCCCAACTGTCCTCGGCCTGTGTTTGGCCCATATCCCGTATCCAGCCCAGGGCCTGCCTTCCATACATGCAAACAAGCGGCCTGGGCCTGGGTGCTCTTCAACCAATTGGCGCTGCGCAACTGCCTGAATTTTCCACAGTTGCGTGGTGACCGAGATAGGGCCCCCAGGCCCTCGTCGAGCCTGCCTTCACTTAGGGCGGCCGACGTGCTGCATAACAGGGCCAAAAGGGGCTCGTCGGGGCCTTGGCCTCGCATTCCCTCCTCCATAACTTTGATAGTCCTTTGAGAAGTTCAGTCTTCGATAATCTTGCGCTTTCCCTTTTGCAGAGACTTTTCATATTGGGCAACAACCTTAGGAGCGGTCTGCATCAGTTCCTCCCTGGTGAACCAGCAATCCTCCTTTGGATCCGTGTGATGTCTGAACCGAACCCTGTATTGCAGCTTCGGTTTCGGAGGACGTCCCCTGCCTGTCGGTCTTGGAACTGGCATTTCCTCATGGTCGACGATGTCATCAATGTCGACCTCTCCATCCATGGTTGGGGACAGCATTGACCGACGAGAGGGAAACTGATCAGTTTCCTCGAAAGGTGGAAGCTTAGAAGCGTGAAAGACAGGATAAGTGCGGAGATGACCAGGGATCCGGATTACATAAGACGGTCCATCCGGATCAGTCCCGACGATGTCTAAGACCTCCCATGGTCCGAAGAACTGAGGCATGAGCTTGCGGGAGATCCCGTGCTCCTGTCCCAGTTCTGAGGACTTAACCCAGACTTTGTCCCCAACCTGGAATGTAGATGGGCGGCGGTGCCTGTTTTCAGATTCTATCATTGCCTCCTGTGCCTTTTGCATTTGTTCTACTGCCTGCTGCATTTTCTGTTCGTAGCGATAAGCGAATTCTAAGGTACCCGGTGCAGCAGTTGGCTGGTTCTCAGGAAGGAGAAAATCTAAGGGCAGTCTAGGCTTGAAGGTCAGTAATAAGTTGTTTGGGCTCACCCCGGTGGCGCTGTGTACAACGTTATTGTACAAGCTGGCGATGAGAGCAAGCTTCTCATCCCAGTCCACCTGATTGGGCTTGATGTAATGCCGCAGCAGGTGTTGTACAGCGCGGTTCAGTTGCTCGGCTTGGCCATTGGCCTCTGGGTGATTCCCAAAAGTCATCTGCAAGTGCGTTCCGGCAGTGGCAGCCTTCCATAACTCACTACTGAATCTGACATACTTAGGCAGACCAAAATCTCTGACCGAGTTCTCCTTGAACAATCTGATCACGTACCTGGTTTTCGCTGTCTCCGGCATAACAATTAACCTAGCGTACTTACTAAATCTATCCACAATGATAAAGATGTATCGCATTCCACTCTTGCTGGTGACCAGGGTGTCCATGAAGTCCATGGACAGGCTCTCACCAGGCCTTTCCGGAATCGGAAGGGGCTTGAGGAGCCCAAGAGGGGCCTGTGTACGGGGCTTGTCTCTCTGACAGACCTGACAAGTCTCCACGTACAGCTTGGCATCTCTCATCATCGTGGGCCACCAGAACCACTGCAACAGATTGGCTGCAGTCTTCTTAAAGCCAACATGTCCGGTGGCATCATGTCACTCACCTAAAAATAAACTACGCAAAGACTCCCTATCTGGCACACACAGACGTTTATTCCCTGTCTTCTCAAGGAACAGCAATCCGTTGACCAACTCAAACTCAGCAGAAGTTGCTTTGTCCTTCATCTCGAGTCTGCGTATGATCTCAGACATAAACCGGTCCTCGCGATAGGCTTCCACCATAGACTGAGTAACATCGTTCGCAAACCCAAACTCAGTGATCAACGCACCAGAGAAATCTGGTCTACGCGACAGTGCATCAACAACCTTGTTGTACTCGCCCTTGATGTACTGGGGCTCAAAGTCATACTGCTCTATGACTTCAATCCAACGATTCAAAGCATCAGAGAGCACAGGCTGGGTTTTCATCCACTTCAGGGTCTGGTGATCAGTCCTGACGTAGAAGAACCTCCCAAGGAGATAGTGTCTCCAATGGGTGAGCGCCTTGTAGATCGCATAGAGTTCCTTCTCATAGGTGGACATCTTTTTGGACGTGTACTCTACTGACCTCAACTTCTTCCCCTCCTGCTGTGCAAGTACGGCGCCTATGCCATATTGGCTAGCATCCGTAGTTACTACAAATGGCTTGTCAGGATCAGGAAGTTTCAAGACCTCATGATGCATCAACGCATGCTTCAGATGTCTGAAAGCAGCCTCGCATCTGCCTGTCCACTCCCATGGGGTGTCAAGGCGAGTCAGGTCAGTCAAAGGGGCGACAACTATGCTATAGTTCTTCACAAAATTGCGATAGTAGCCGGTCATCCCTAAGAAAGACCTCATCTCAGTCACAGACCGAGGACTCGGCCAGTCACGAATGCTGGCCACCTTCGCGTCATCGAGCTCTAATCTCTCCGCGGAAATCTCATGACCCAAGTACAAGACACGGGTGCGGCCAAACTCGCACTTCTCACCGTTGATCTTGAACTTGTGCTGTCGCAGAAGACTCAGGACTTTATCCAAATGCGCAACGTGCTCCTTGACAGTCTTACTAAAAATAAGTATGTCATCGAGGTACACGATGACAAACTTATCCAAGTAGTTATGAAATATCTGATTCATAGCGTGCTCAAAGGTGCCAGGAGCATTGCAAAGGCCGAAAGGCATCACCACAAACTCGTACAGACCGTACCTGGTCTGAAAAGCGGTTTTGTGTTGATCCTGGGGCCGGATTGCAATTTGATGGTACCCGGACTTCAGATCTATCTTACTGAAGTACCGACACCCTTGCACTCTATCTAGCAAGTCATCGATGCCCGGTAGGGGCTCTCTGTTCTTGACAGTGATGGCATTGAGGCCCCTATAGTCAATGCACATCCTAAGTGTTCCTTCCTTCTTCTTTGGTACGAATAGGACTGGTGAACCATAAGGAGAAACACTCGGTCGGATCCAACCCTTTTCTACGAGTTCCTTGAGTTGTCGGCGAAGCTCGTCAAGCTCGCCTGGAGACATCCGATAGATCCTACCCTTTGGAATGCTAGACCCTGGGATAATCTCTATCGCGTGGACGACCTACCTCTCAACAACCCCTGTCGGCTCTTCAAATAGATCAGGGTATTTAGCAACTACTCCCTCTATCTCCGGCGGCATTTTCACCGGCTCGCCTGCAGCAGAGACGTAAACTAGATACATACCCTGCTCCCGATTTTACTTATACTAATTATAGAATGCGGCCGCACACATGCATCTGTGGGACTCGATCAGACTACTAGCTTTGAACTTACGTAATCTGGCGGTCCCCCCACCTGGCAAAGTGTGTTTGACCACTTTTCGGCCCCAGTCAAACTGGGGATGTGCCACAGAGAGGTAGTACATACCTAACAACATATCCATGGGAGTTCATCGCTCACTAGGAACGAGATATGATGTCTCAGTTACCTCCCGCGTACGGGAAACAACACTCAACATCTTGGAGGTAGTCATTGACTACCATGCGCTGTTTGTTGGCACAGGTCGACTCCACAGGTCGACTCAGGCGCTGCACTTGCCCCTGTAAGCGCAGCCTCTCAATGCACGCGCGACTAATGAAGTTCCTTGTCGAGCAAGTGTCATAATAGGCCCCGGCCTTGCCGCCGCCGATGACTACCTCGCTGACGAACATCTCACCCTTAGGAGCTTTGACTAGTGTCGTCCAAGAAGCTAGTGGGTCTGACCTAGACCACTCCTCCTCTAGCTCCTCTAAGGACTCAAACACATTCATCGAACAGAGGGTCGATGGGTCTGAATGTGTTTGCGGGACGACGGTGGAGTCAGTAGCTTGGGCCATCTCTCGAGATGGTGAGGGTTTGTCCACCACCCCCACCCTAGCAGGAACAACTACTATTCCTACCGGCTCGACGTGTTTCCCGGAGCAGTGCCTAAAGTGCTGGCAACATTGCTACCAACGGAAGCGGAGGATCCTACCGCCTGCCCCATCGTAGGCGGGATCTTCTCGGTCACCTTCTTATTTCGGCACTTGAATTGGTTATGGCCATATTGGCCACAACGGATACAAGCCTGCCGTGTGTACCGATCTCTCCACACGTCCTCGGTGAGACCCGCTTTCTCCCATGGAGGAGCATTGGGGTCAACTTGACTCCTAGACCGGGAACCTCCACGGCGTCTACCGGTCGCCTTACCTTTTTGAGCTACGGCAGCGACTACTCCACCCCCTGAAGCTTCCCCGCTGCCAACCTCTGAACCTACTCCCTCCTAGAAGTTGCCGTCTAACTCGATGGTTGAACCATCGTTATCGACAAACATAATGCGACCCTTCGCCTTCCAGTTGGGAGACAATGTTGTCTTCCTACCATCCGTTGTGGGATTATCCATGCCCTATCTTTGCCTCAAAGTCTAGGGCCTTCTTGCTGAATGAGGGAAAGTTGTGCACATTGATGTTGGCCTCACCTGCCAACTGATTCCTAAGTGGAATAGGAAAGCATCTCAGGTATGAGGTGAGTAAGACCTGGGGGTCATAGCGCACCCCAGGGACACATATCAGACGCTCTACAACGTCAGTGGCCTCCCTAACTGACTTGAACTGCCTCGTGTGCAGTGTCAAGATCGCCTCAGTGGCCTTTTGGGCCTCCTGAGGATCGTGCCACATATCTTCCACCAACTTGAGAAAGTCATCCAGTTTCTGGGTGACCGCTCAAGTGCGAAAGTCATGACCATACCCCTATAGTTGCACTAAATCACTCAACCATCGTGCTGCACTCCCCTCTAAATAGGAGGCAGCCACAAGCGCTTCCTCGTGCGGCAAGGTAAGTTTGCACTTGACATAAACTGGCACTGCCCTCAACCACGTGTCGAGGTCTTCGCCTCTCTTATCCCTGTAAAGGGTTTAGGAGCGGCGATGGCCGTCTTTGGTACCCACTGACTTTGTCCCGGTCCCTGCATCACTCTGTGCTGTGGACCCTGTGGTGCAGGCTGCTGCACTAACTGCTGGGGCTGTGTGCCCTGCGGCTGTGCAGGTTGTGAGACAGCAGGCTGCACGCTTACGGCAACCTGTGACGGAGGTTGGGTGAATACTGTCTGTACAGGAACCTGCAAAACAGGTCCCTTCTGATAATGGCATGCCCAGGGAAACGGTCTTGACCGATGCTGGGGCTGTATATGGGGATACCCCAGTCACCGGTGGGACAAAAGGAGGAGGATGTACAACGGGCCAGGCACCGGGCCCGGACGGTGATGGTGACGCCTGCATTCGCCCGACTAACACAGCCAGACTCTGTTGGATGTCCTGTAAGATCTCCATTTGGTGATCTTGCATTTCTACTACGCTCAACAAGACCGACCGTRTGGTCCTCACGTCATCCTCCATCTCTGTAGTGTCCATCTCCTCTAACTCACCAACGTCCGCTTGCCTCCGCTGCATCCTGGCTCTTCTCCTAATCATTCTCTCTTTCTCAGCCTTAATCTCTCCCAACGCCTGCTGTAGCTGTGCCTCACGATCAGCAGCTCGCTGTATGGTGACCTCCTCGGGAGTCATCCCTAGGGGCTGGCTCGCCATTACACCAGTGGACCGACTCACGGTCTGTGCGACCGTTGATCCTATAGAACCTGAACTACTATCCTGAGAGGTTTGCTGCGCGGCAGTGGCCATGGCTGCTGAAGTAGCGGCCTCGCTTGCGAATGCCCTGCTTTCCTCTGCTGCTCTAGCTCTCCTCTGCTGCTGCAGCCTCTCCCTACGCTGGCGGAACAGGTATCTGCCGCCCTCTGGTCCTAAAGCCAAATGGGCAATCGGGCGTCTAGCCGATCGCCGGATCCGGTCGTCCTCTCTAGTGTCCTCCCCGTCGCTCATAAGCTACAGCACTGTACACAATCTGCACTAGTGCACTCTAGATGCCTACCACAGTGTAATGCACAGACCAACTTAAAATAAATAATTTGTGGCTATGTTAGAGACTATACATTCGGGTTCAACAAGTAAGTTCAGATTCCTACAAACGCAAACTATTGCACTTTGATTAGTCCGCAAACAGAAAGCACAAGGAACAGAAAACAGTTCTAACTAGTGCTGTCTGTCAGATGTGAATGGATGTACATCTAACTAATCAAAATAAAAATAGAATCGTTTGTTTGGTCTGTTCACAGCATGGGATCTTACTCAAACTTATCACCTGGAATCTACCCCTTCCCCAATTCCCCTTGATTGTCACTTGACGTCAGCGTCCCTGAGCAATCCGGTTTGGCGTGCGTGACTAAAGGTGTTCACACGGCCCACCCCTGTGCCCCGAGTAGCTGCTGAGATGGCCAGCCCTGCACTGTGTTTATCCTCGCGTGCAGCGAGCCTTACACCCATTGGCTGATCCAGAGGCAATTTAACGACCGCCCCCAAGTGTCATCTGGAATTATTTTACGTCGCAGCAGGACGACGATCACAGCCAATGGTTTCCCCAGCCGGTGTTTATTTATAGACCCCCGATACTCGTCTCTCCCATAGGGCTGGACGGCCCTTCAGTACCCCTTCTATGAGCGCAGCAAGCAGACAAGGACAAAGCAGCAAAGCATGCGTGTTCTACTCCCGGTGGGTTGGCATGGTGACCGTGACCCAGTGCTCTGTCCAGGGCCCTTCAGAAAGCACCGCCCTCTCCTTCCAGATGCTCCACAAGAACAATGCCGACTCTCAAGGTTGAGTGCACACGACACCTCACATGAGAGGACTCTCAAGAAAGAACTCACAACCTCACGGTAAGAAGTGATGAAGAGGTTAGATAAGGTTAAGAGCAACGTACCTCATTATAGCTGCCCCCAACCACAGATATTCTCACCAGATGACCTGATGGCGATTGCGATGACCAGTCACTGCATCGGCACAGCCAACATTATCTCGTCGTTCCACCTCAGCATCAATCAACCACCAGATAGTTCTCATCACACTGCGAACACCCAATATACACACCGTAGCCTTCCTGGCGATTCCCCTCTCCTCCTGGGTCGCCAACACCTTGTCTCCGCCCTCTTCACTACACACCACCTACGACCAGGCTCACCAAGCAGACTGCATGTATGTACCGCATAGGCAGAAGACAAGCACCAGATGAGCGCAACGCACCACAGCTCCAATACCAAATTGCAAGGAAGATGAGCGATAGCGAACTTCAGCAATCAAACAGCATCATACACATAAGACCAGATAGTCGTGACCTCGAACCAATAGCAGAATTGCATCACGAGTTTCACCAAATAAGAGCACACCAAAAGCTCATAATTGACAATGATGGAATAGTCTCATCACCATCATCAACGAAGAACCAATGTTGATATCCTCTCTGGCGCTCGGCGCCCAGACTACAAATGGCAGATCCTATCTAGCCTATTCTACAATGCCGAAGATGACGACAACAGCTCTCCCGAAGTACGAGCAGTTAGCAGCCAATGTCGCACACTTCCAGCACCAGGGATGTCTCTCGCATCACTCACAACCCCGTTCCCCAACACACAGATGCCACTTGCACCCAAGGACCACCCTGCGCCACATCCAGCTCACAGCAGCGCAGCTCAGCTATGGTTGCCTGCTCCTTCCTGCTCGCCCGTGAGCGTGGTAGCGCCAGCCAGCTTCAGCGCAGCAGCGCTTGCGCAGCATGCAGCCAGCACCC